TGATCAAATTGAAAATAGTTCGTTCGACTGAACGTAAAAATTCTCTAATTAGTCTGGAAACGGGGGACCAAATTCTTGCATTCTGTGAAAACGAATAAGATTGGCTATAATATAATTATCTTAGGCTGTGTACACACTAGGCGTTTTTTAAACGCGTTTTAAAGAACCAAGAGTTTTATATAGGCGTACACACTCAAACGCGCGCTTTTGGCCAAGCGCACGTTTATAGATTTTTGTTAAAACGCGCGTTTTGCGGGCGCTTTACGGGCGCTTTGAGATATATGTGCTGAAATGGAGAACGATCATTTCGATACTGATCTATTTATTGATGAAATCTAAAAGAGACCAACCATTGTCAATGGATTTTATAAATATTTTAAAAGAATTAAAAAACTTGGGTTCATTTTGTCTTAGTTTTGCAAACATTCCATGTGTCAGTCTATCTCGTAATATTGGGTGCATCCAAAATTCTCTTTGCCTCTGCCATCGTCTTTTATAGCGATGATGGAGGAGGCACACACAATCAATTACTTTCACGTCCATTTCCAAACTGAGCCAGTGCTAACGCCGAACTAACGCTCGTCGAACGCCGAGCTAACGCGCGTTTAAAAACGCCTAGTGTATACGCAGCCTTAATCTTCACTATCGTTACTTTTTGCCCATAAATAAAAACCTAGCGAAGCGGGTCCTTGCAGCTAGTAATAATAAGCGCAGAGCCCAAACGGTTAGGAGTTCAAAGTTGAAATTCGGTACACAGGATACGTCACGAGAATGTGCACTAAGAAGAGTTTTTTCGAAATTCCCCTCCTTTCTTGGGGAAGAAGGAGAGGGTTAATGAATCCCTTTATGAATGTACTTTAAATGGGGAGGAGTAGGGGAAAGTGTACGTACCTTAGGTTATTTTTTTTTTCATTTCTCAGGTGTTTATTGTTTCATCGGAATACATTTTTGTCTGAATGTATGTCACTTATACATCTTTCCGCTTAGCTATGTAAAAAAGAAAAAAAGCAAGTATAGTTTTTACAAGAAATTTAAAAAATGAGAAGATCCAATCACGGGTTGGATTAGGCTATGAATTTACTCGTAATCAGCATTGTTGGGGCAGCCAAATATCTGTATCACGCAGACCAAAATCGGACCTGGCTATTTTATGCTTTAGCTTAGATTCTTCTCTTTATCACTTGAAACACTTTACTCTCACAATCCAGGAAACAAAACTGAGAAAGCTTGTGGCCCGAGTCTGCGAAAATTTACTTCCGGAAACGCAAAAAATGGCTCACAGATCGTGANTATATAAAGTAAAACCTGTCTAAAGCGGAACCTTAATAAAACGAATGTATATACTTTTTATTATAATATTTAAATATTTGAACGGGGCCGCTGTACAATAGTCACGTGTCGATAATAAATTCAAACGACACAATTCAAATTCCCTACATTACGTCACAGAGAGGTCAATGTATCTTCTTTCGTTACGTAACGATAATTATCGGAGGTGGAGGGAGGGATAAAATGGATCCTATTCTTACATCACGTACGAAAGAATCTGTTTTTTTTTTTTTTTTTTTAAAGTTTCTCACAAATAAAAATAAAAAACAAAAATTTGTTGTTAGCAGCCGTGACGTAACGGAGACGAAAGTGTTTCCTATTTGTTTTAATTTATTGTTCCCAAGAGGGAGAGGCTGCACATGTAAAGTGTGTTGTAAGAGCAGGAAATAACCAGGGTCGAGCAGGAAACGTGAGAAGGCGAAACGGCTTTCCACGTCCAATAAAGTGTCTGGAAAATGTCCTCTCAAATGGCGGTAATAACTTTCGCTTAATGATTCTCGAAGGACATTTTAATAAATGTGTATCTTCGGACTGGATTCTCTTCTTCAAAATATGCATCTTCCACTTGATTCTGGGGTGGTCGTGTAAACACTAGACAACGCCCGACATTTATACACGATCATGCCAGAGATCCGATACGAAAAAGAAACCGCCGAAAGCCACAGTACAAACAAACATAAGCCCTACACAAATACGGAAGTGAAACCCGAAAGACCCAAACAAATGAATTTTGAAGGTCTTAAAGGCTTAACGGATCGAGTTCTAAAACACAATATTCCAATGGAAGTTTTCTAATATTGAAACTTTTGTAATTAACGGCGATTTTAATGACTTAAAATGTATAATATAACAGTAAAAACAATTCAAATTTGGACGGGACAGAAAATAAAACTCAAACACGACAACCATTTCGAATATTAATCATCAATTTTACAACCCAGTTTATCATCCTCTCGCTTAAGATTTTCATAATAAAATAAGTATATTTCCTTAGAAATCCTACGATAGTATATATAAAATATACATTCAAGATAATATTCCTGAAGGAAATACATAAAAACCTGTTCAAAAAGGAAAAAAAATTCGGTAAAGCGCGAGTCCGGTTTACACAGGTTTCACTGTACTTATCTTCCTTTAACATACGTAAACGAATTGTTATATAAAAGCTTCAGTTAAAGATACCTTCGATATCCTGTGTTTAAATCTATATAATATTAAGAAAATTATTTTACTACAAATAATGAATGGAGGTTGGAAAAACGAATGACGTCTATCGAATAATAAATTTGTGAAGATGTCTTCTCGTGCGTCATTACTCCCGACCAGCTGCAATGAGTAAAATAAACCCTGGCAAGTCTGGTTGCTGAATGAACCGTGTCATTTCTATCTTCGATGAGAACATCAAACCACGTGACTATGTCAAACCCACTGAAAGATTGGGGGTGTTAAATTAAGATTTCGTACACACAAGAATCTACAAAAGCTTAATTTATGCCACGAAAACCGATGTTTTGTCATTGGCCTCACAGAAATTATCAGTATATTTTTTTTATTATCTCTTTTGCTAAATGGAAATTCTAACCTCAGGGGTTAGAATTTCCATTTAGCAAGTCATATCGTAAAAAGAGTCAACTCTTGATATTGTTTTAACCTTTCGCTGATAAACGATCCTTCGTTATTACTTGAAACACTTCTTTATTCTTTTGGATACATCATTGCTTACAGAAGTTGATCCGTTTCGGATTGTTTGATGTTTAATTGGGTTTCTAAAATCGCTGCGTGTTGGCCCTTCTTCTTCTTCTTCTTCATCCTCCTTTTTTTTTTTTTTCTTCTTCTTCTTCTTTGTGGTAAATATAATACTTGTATACTAACGCCCGTAAAGAAAATAAAAGACAACGTAACCATCTCCTCTCCTGTAAGATTACTTGTAAGGATACAAACGGGGCATTGATTGGAGTTCGGAATTTGTCGATGGGTCAACCGGGGTCAATTCTATCCATTTAAGAAATGTTTTATGTCGAATTTTAAAGAAGTTTGGCGATTTTCTCGAGTACGAAAGGAGATAAGCGGGCGACAACTGATGGAGCGCGCAGACATTCTCGGAAATAAGATATTGTGAAGTACGAGGTGTCAAGGATTAAGCAAAGCGTCGTCATCTGTAAACCATCAAACGCCCTTTAGTGTAATGTGAGAATCTAGTCATTTTTTAGTGGGAAGATGGGAACAAGGATAGCCGCACTGGAATTTAATAAGCAGCCTCATTCTTTAACATCACCGACTTTTTCAATAGGGATCGGAGAGAGAGAGAGAGAGAGAAAAAAATCCTTCGGTAACGTCTACCACATTGCATTTTTTAAAAAAAAGAGAAAAAAAACCTCAACCACTTAAAAGGACAATGTTTCTTTGCAGATTTCACAAAGGAAAAAAGAAAATCGATCAATGATCCTTCTGTGTTTTCATTAGGATCATCCGAATTAATGTTCCACATAAGTAATATCCGGTTGCTTACAATACTCGATGTAAACCTGTGCTACGTCGTAGAATACAAGAGGCCCTTCCTCCTCCATCAAATAATAACGGGCAATACGTTTATAAACTGAAGCATAAGCTGCAGCTCGTTTAACTTATATGAAAATATGGCTCTGCATCTACACATAAATACATTTAAAATGAATTAATAAACTAGGAAATATATAACAGAGACGAGACAATTCGATGAATACGCTGAAAGACCTGAATTGCAATTTATGTATATTCACGATTTCAATTATTATTAAAAATTAAAAGGCGGAATATACAAAAGATGGTTTTTCCTTTCTTTTTCTAAAGCTCTTCGTGTAAATGTTGCGGAACAAATGAGCGCTGTATCATCTAAAACAACAGCACATTTTATTAATGAATTGCATCCATTGACGAAACGAGCGCTCGACCACGATACTTTACACTTCTATTCATTTTCCTAACGCCTTCTTAAATTAAAAAATAATATAGTATTGTGTTAAATTCATATAAATACATTAAAATTTCATACCGCCAGATAATTAAATTACTTTAAAAACTGCATAAGATTCCATTAATAAAAATAACTATTGCTGTCTCTCCTGGGAAAGAATCGCCATCTGTTAATCATTTTGTTCACTACTACCACCCTTTTCAATTAAAAAAAAAGCATTATAAATTAAAATAAATACTTTAAATGGTAAATTTTTATTTAATTATCATCTACCATTCTAATTCATTCAGAGTATTTCAGAATTACTCTGAAAACATATGTATTAGATGAAATTCTACAGTAATTCTACAGTAAATTCTACAGTGTGTGTTTAATATGTTCTAATGTTTTTCTAACAATAAATGACATTGGCAAAATAAAAGTAAATTAAACAATCATTTCAATAAAATAATATAAACAAAAATTAATTAAATTTCCTAGCCTGAAGAAGATTATCATCCAAGAATGAAAGTACTAACCAAATTAATAAAGTTCTTTATATATTTTTTAAACTTAAGTGTAGTTTAAATACCACTAAAGTTTGTTTAATTTACTTCTGTCAAATTCTATTACAATAAACTTCAATCTAATTAAATCATAAAGCATTATATAGCGTAAGTTTATAATTTATTTATAGAATTACATATAACTTTTATTTTGATTAAAATATAAAAATAAATATTTATTTATTTCAGTATTTCAATCAAAGTAAATAAACTCGACATGTAAAACACTTGTTTCAATGCATTGTAATTCTAAGAATACATTTTAAATGATAGACAGAGGTACAAATTTAAGTTAAACTCTCGGCACATAGTTTTACCAATATACACAAATTAATAACGGGTAAGGTAGGCAAATATCTAATGACAACTATACTGCTACGTCACCAGGGCAAATGGCTCTATCTCAAAAGAAATTGAAAATCGGGTTGCTCGATCATATTTAATTCATATCCTTTATTAATACCATCCAATATCTAGCATTATAAACATTCTGTAATTATTACAGAACATTTCTCAACATTACTTCAGTAACTTGAATTTCAAATTTTTTTTTTTTAGGTAGATCTCTTGCCTTGAGATGGTAGATTGCAATTTGTTCTGCTTGACAACTGACAAGTTTCTTTTGACATTGATTGTAAGATACATCCTGATTTCAGAAATCTTAAAAATATAAATATTGTACACCTTGGAATCAAGGGAAAATAGTAAATCAAATTCCAAGTAAATCAAGGAATATATATATATATTTGTGAACTTCAGCTTACATTTAAAAGATAACTTTTAAATAACAAAAATACAGGACGGTAAAGAAAGTCATGTAACACCCCTGCTACAGAATATACGATGTGCACAAAGAATGTACGTGGTACATTGAACACATCATGTAACGTGCAAACCCTCTGTAACCGTTCGAGGTAGGTCAATAAAATCTTTCGGCAATCAATTCCTTAAGAAACTCTGACCCTAATTAATGTATCACATGATCTCCTTCCCATTTAGTTTCCAAGTTGCATTCAATACGGCAGCCATGCGTGTAACACAGCAATCTGTTTCCCCCTGGTCTAATGTGTTCCCGACATGAGTGAATTAACTTTGTATACATTCTATATTCTGTAGCAAGGGTGTTAAGTGACTTTCCCACCCTGTATATTATATTTAAAAACATTTTGACTAACCAAATAATTGCTGATATACAGTATACGTCATATTAAATGGAACATTAATTCATTCTGAAAATTTTTTAAAAAGTTAATATTAGATTTCTTTTTAATTTTTGATTATTGTCACCCTGTGGGAACTAAAAAGCCTTTTTTTTTTCTTTTACCTGTCACAGGTTTAGCTAGGACCACAAAGGGGCAGCCAGATGAGATGTACAGACTCCAACATATCTGGGACAGACCAGCCCTGTTCCTGCTTTAACTGCTGATTTGCTGTGATTTTAGCTCTTTATTAATAAAACATAACAACAAAATAAATAAAACTATGCAAATATTCTCTCTAAAAACTGTTTAATTAATAAAATATCTAATTATTTATTGTATTTTTGACAAGATATTAAATAGCAAAAATGCATAAATAATATTGGATTTTTAAGAATTATAAAAACGTATTCAAATGGTTTTCTACTTTTTAATTTATGAAACTTTGACTCTTTTCTTTGTTTTATTTATTAATCCGTTATTATTTACTAACAATGCAGAATAACCCACTTCAATTAAATTACTTGCTAATTATTACTACAAAAAGTATCTGTCATAGAGTTGTTTTTAAAATATATTCATTTTACTAATATACAATGTAATTTACTTACAAAAAGTAGACTTAGCAATGCCATGCTTGTTACTACCAGATATTCTTGACATGAAATACTTATATCATAAACATTTATTTGCTATGAGATAACATTTTTAACTTTAAATAAATAAATCGGTGGTGTGATGAATCAATTGCACTAGCTCCCAACATCACAAAGTCTACTCCTTGCAACTAATTTTATTTGATCACCAAGTATAACAAAAGAAATATGAATTATTTATGTTTTATTTCATAATTATTTTTAAAGTGTAATGTAATCTGTGAATACTTTATAAAACATAATCCAACACAAATTACTGTTATAAGAGATTCGAAATTCACATTACTGACAAGCATTTTATATGAATAATTAGTTTAATAATGTTTCTCAGAATAATGTTCTATAAGTTACTTGGGAATTATTTAATGAAATAAAATAATTATGAAATAAATAAATAAAATTATTTTAATATAAATTTAGATATCGTATATTACTCATAAATTTCTTTAAAAACTTTGTTTAATTATAAAAACACGCATGAATACATTAAGTAATTACTTTAAATCCAGTTGTCACATTATGGAACTACTGATGTGTCTCGATGCCAATTTTTCACTTGCACTTTGCAGTAAATTAACAGATATTCGTAAAATACTGTTTCAATTTTCTTGCTTCAAATTATTATATAGACACTGTAAACATGTTAAAAAAACAATTGCATATATACAATTTGCATGATATATACTTTCAAATATATAACATGGTACCTCAATGTTGAATTTTCATTAAATTATTGAAATTATAGATGATAGTAGATATCAAGTATCTTTAAGTTCTATGAAATTTTCAATTTTAACTTTTTATGAACATTGTTCTCTTCTTTCAATTTCTGATGATTTGAATTCTTATTCTTGCATTTGTTATCATTTCTTATGAATTTAACAGATGGACGTTCGATGTACTTAAATAAAGATGAATTTCTTGTAGGATCAATATCATCCGAGTAAGGAGTAATCTTCACTTCCAATATTTTTAGTAGTTGAATCATGATATTGTCCACATAATCATGTATGAGTAAATCAGCATGCTTGTCCTAAATTTAAAAAAGATCGTTTTCTTTTAAATTCGTAAGGAATATATATTTATTTATATATAAATTTCATAGAAATATAATAAATAAATGAATTAAGAGAAATAATGATAAAATATTTGCATTAGTATCTACATTCTAGTCTTATCCTAGAAATTATATTTTAATCTTTTTTATTTTTAGCATTTTTGTTTTTGTTTAATATCAGAATGTTATTATAAAAACAGTATTATTAGCATCTCCATTCTTCATCTGAACAATAAACCAAATAAGGTATGTACAACCATAAATAACTCATACATGAATAAATGAATCCATTTAGATAATGTTGTGTTAAGATTTACTTTAAATGAGTTGACTGCAAGACAAACCTAGTCTTCTTTATATTGATAGAAGTAAGACCTGAAACACATAAAGGAAAAATCAGAAAAAATACTGGAGGCAGAGTACAGACAAGATTTCTGATATTCTTATCCCGGATTTAAAAGAACAGATAGAATGAGAAGCAAAGAAATTAGGCACTTACTACATATAAACATCATGACAATATAAACAAAAACAATAATTGAAAGACTATTCTAAAAGCAAGAAAACTAAGACTCTCAAAATGCTATACAACAAGATTGACACAGTAAAAGAAAAACAGAAAAAAATCTCAAAACACTGGAAAGAACACAGTTGTAACCTTCTTTCCTCTAATGAATTAATCATCTCGAACTACCAATTGGCGAAGATGTACAAGGCTTATCAAACTGTTCTGGAGCATTAGAAAATTGAGACAACAACAAAAAACACTAATTTTATTCGTGGAATGCATTTCAGACTTCACTCTTCAGTCACTATTACATAAATATTGATACCTACAATAGTTTGATTAAATAATTTAGTATGATAGAAAGGAAAACAATCTAAAAGCGTGAAGAAAAAGAGTTGACTGTAGCATATCAATCGAGTTTTTTAAGTCTTCAAAAAATTTTGAAGCTGGCCTAGAAACAGCTGCATTTTTTAATCAACTTTCTGTTACGAATTGTAGTTTAAGCCGATTGAACATTTTAGTGATCCTAATGGCTCCATTTTTCACCAGTCAAAAATAAAACACTGTAAAGTTTAGAATTGTACAGAATATAATAATTTAATTAAAATAATAAATAATAATAGAGATTACAGTGTTTCATTTACATTTGTCTTGGCAGATAAATTAAGAGATGAAAAGAAATAATTACACAGCTAGTTGTTTTGCTAACTATACGGTTATTGCAATTTTTCCGACATAAAGGAAAAGTTTATTATCTAATAAATGCAGAATAAATTTAATAAATCTTTTCACTTTTCAGATTTTTAGAACTTTTTACTAGATATTTAACCATTATTTATTTTTATTTTTATTAGTGATGTAACGAATATTCGGTTACTATTCGCTATTCGGCAGAATACTGAATATTTAAGCACTATTCAGCCAAATACTGAATACCTAAAAACAGGAGTAAGAAATAACAAAAACACAGTAAATTAATCATTTTGGTATTTAGATTTAATGTTGTTTGTTTATATTTATTTATAACTTATAACATGCACAAAATAAAAAAATAATAATAATAATAATGTTAGTCACATGTATTCACAATTTATAATTACAAAGATCAGCACACGTACACGCCTTTTCGTTCGAGAATCGTCGCAAACATGTGAGGGTCTGACCCTGCCTATCCTTTTTAAGCACTCGTCTTTGCTCTTTCCTTTCTCTTTCCTCCATCTCTCTAGTCCACATATGCCTATGCATATATCATAATATGCACTCATGATACTTTCAATTCGCCACTTTTCCGTCGTAGTTTTTCCATTTTATAATTACGTGACTCATAGCCCGGTGATAATGGAGAAAAGAGACAGATAGGACGTCAGTATATATCACAGTTATGATTTCACAGCTTCGAGACACCTTGGTAACCCGAACGGTCCCAGGCTTTCACCCGTGCACGCTAACTGACTTTCATTACAAGCATTTAGCTTTCCAAAGTCTATGACAACAATTGTTTGGCATTGACGGCCACAAATTTCACGCCAATAAGCTGCTTCAACTAGTTTGATTATGTTATCAACTCAATTTCATATTTATTTTCACATTTTCACTTCACGGTCCTTCTCTGTTCTTTTCCCATTATTTACACGGGTAGGTCATTTCATTGTTATTTGCATTTGATATCATCATTTATCGCATACTGCCACGACACTCTTGTCTGTCTGCTACAACTGTCAAGAATTAACGCGATTGGTGAAGCTTAGTGACAGTGGGCCAATAGAGAGCAGGGTCCTTGCCATAATGAGGTTTGCATGCCAATTTTCGTACGTGCGTTAATCAAGCCAAATAGTTTGGCTGAATATTCAGCTATTCGGCCACACTCCTGGCCGAATATTCGGAATTTGGCCTGAAGCCGAATATACTATTCGTTGCAACACTAATTTTTATATAATCTTCAATTAGATCGGCTTTATAATTAAAATATCTTTTATTTTCATAAGAGTAAAACTGCTACAGTAGCATAAACAATAAACAAAATTCTTTTAATTAAAATACAAACAAATATGTGCTTTAATAAAGTATAATATAAATGTTGCTCCTGACAAGACGACCACTATAGCAGAGACAAGATAACTTTACGTATAGTTAAACTTAAAGAAATATGGTCTTCTCATTTTCAAAGCAATGTGACAAATCTTCTCTTCTAATACACAAAGCATTAAAGCAAACATTTTGTCTGTACTTTAACTTTGTAGAGGCTTGTATGTATTTGAAAAATTTTTAATGCTAGCAGAATTGTGTATATTTTAAAATATAAAACTAAAATATACATACATGTTTTGTAGGTTGTAAATTGCAAATTACTAATTTTCCATTATTTGTTTTTGTAAGGAGAGGTAAATTACCACTTGGTATTATTTGAAGAGTTGTGCCTAAACAAATACTCAAATCAGCTTCTCTGAAAAAAAAACCATTCCATAGTAAAAAAAACTCATAATTTCGTACATTAATTATAATAATTAATAATTTTAATTTACTTTGAATGTTTCTCTGCCATTTTTAAATCAATTTCAGGTAATTCATCTTCCCAATCCAAAATTGTGTCGTAGAGTGTACCACGACATGGTTTATTGTTAGATTTAGGAATAGGGCACAAGACTCCCGTATTTTTTTGTCCAACAGATTTACCTGCAGTATTTTGCACGAACAATCTACAAATAATAAAACTTCAAAAGTTAAAAAATTATAAAAATTAAAATGTAAATCAAATCTTAAAAATTTTTTTATATTGATGTATATAAAAATACTAATATACTCAACATGTTAACATGTTAACCGCTATCTGACATGCCGGCGGTCATACTAATTAGGGTCGTACAAAGCCATATGACCGCCAGTGGTCAGAACCAACTTTACAGATGCGCACAAGAGGCCACCACTAGGATGTAAAACGTCTTACAAAGCCAGGATAATTTAACCTTGAATGAAACTACATTGGTTATAGCAACGTCGAGCGATCGGATGGCTCTGTATGGCCTTAATTAGTAAGACTGCCGGCGTGTCGGATAGCGATTAACATGTTAAAAATAATATAATTCAAAACATTTTGTTCATTCAAATAAAAATCCAAATTCTAGTCAGTCACTAAAATTCATTTTGTTTTATATTATATGCAATATTATTGGATTATACTTTAGCAAGCTCAATAATATATTGTAATTAATAAATAAACATCTATATGCCGGATAGTTATATTAAAGCCAAATGACTGCCAGATTAAATTGGGCTATATTATCACTACTATTAAATACTATTACTCAGTATTTAATTATTAATAGTAGCAGTAGTATAGCTTGATTTAATCTGACAATCATTTGACTGCAATTAATCAGTTTAAAAATATACGTATCACATACTAAGTCTAAAAGAAATATATCAGATATTAACTCCAATTCTAAACACTAATTTATCAAACTCCAAAGTTTTTAAATTTAAACAGTCATCTTACTTACAATCATCAACTAAAGGATATCAAGATAAAGCCATTAAAAAACAAAGAGAAACTCATCACATTAGCTAAGCAAAAAGATCTAATATAATTATTATTATTATAAAGAGTAAGATATAAGAAAATAGCATATTATATGGTGAATTTCTATATATTATTAAAATAGCTTCATATTTACATATGAGATTTTTATTTAAATTTTTACCTTTTCAACAAGCTCTGTGGATTTGAAATGCTAAAAATTAAGTTGAAAAGTTTACCTTATTATTTAACTTAAATTTACAACTGACAATGCTCTCTTACAAACAAAAAATTACCTCTCCAAACAAATACTTCTGAATAAAAATAACATACAAAATCAATGACACGAGTGTCTACAATTGAATATTAGATAAGCCGGATGATTTTAACAGTTCTACTTGTCAGTGGTACTATAATTTCAGTATTATAGTATAATTTTTAATATCATAAGTCTGGGTTTATTCTCAAAATAGTTTGTTTTAGCATCTGATTATATGATTAGTTTAGCATTTGTTATTGATCAGTATCTCGTATCCTCTTCAAAAAGACTTTCGACAACTGTTTACTTGAAAGATGCAATTCATTATATACAGTATATTATTTATATAATAATGAAAAAAAAAATGTTATCATCACTAGATACTTAAATTAATAATGAATTAATTATAATTTTCAATCTTACTTGCATTTTTTATATTAAAAAATTAATTAAAAACCTATTATTATATAATATAATAATAATTTTTCTCTTTAATCCAATTAAAAATAAACTCAAATCAATTTTATGAATTTACAATAAATTAAAAGTTTCTAAAATCTCTACAAAACTTATTTAAAATGCAACTTTAATGTACAAAAATAATTATTAAATCAGTTATTAATAGAATAAAAAAAATGGATTACAGGCAAAAGTATAAATTACAGATCATTTTGGATAAAATCCAGCAAAAACTACAGAATGGCTTTAGAAATAAAAAAAGTTACAATTTGTTATTAGATTTTCTAGCATGGCCGATGCACAATACGACAATCTAGTCGAGGAATGGTGAATATTTTTGAGCCCATGTGCCATATAGTAAGCATATTTAGCTTTAAAGATTTTTATGCATGCCAAAGTTTTGGATTTTAAATAATTATATTTAAAGAAATTAAACAAATATTAATAAATGTAAAAAAATGATTTAAAAAAGTATTATCAAATGATAAATCAAAACAATGATTGAAAAGAACAGCTGATAAATCAAAATCGTATCATGCACTAGATGTTTTCTCCTTATGTGCCACTTTGGGCACATGCGCCTTACGTTCACCACCTCCGATCTAGTCAAAAGCAAAGAAGCCTGCAGAACAGTAATCTTGTCAATCGAGGACACTCATAACCATAGCACCATAGCCTTAGCAGTAGTAACAGTGTAATAAAAAACATTCTTTTTTATATAAACATTATTGTGTTCTTGTGTTTGGAGATGATCATATGAATTTATCAAAATGATTCATCAAGAAACACTTCAGTTTTAATATTTTATTACTACTTCAACATTTCAAGACAATAAACAGTCTAAAATGTGTGAAATTTAAAAAAAAAAAAAAACATTTTTATAATAACTTTTTCATATTAAATAACAAATGATTAAATTTTAAGCAATTAAAATAGTACCTTTTACATTTATTACATTTGTGAAGAAACATATTACCATGAAGCTCCGACAACTTAGAAGCAGGAAATCCGGATCGTAAGTGCAAACCGTCAACGTTCTGGCTGACTATGTAATGAACGTATCCGGCTTTCTCCAACGCCAGCAATGCCATATGCGTGGTGGTCGGCACAGCCTCGTCAAATGACGTGTTAATTTGAGGTTTTATGCCCTTCTCTTCTAAAGTCCAGACTCCCTTTGGTCCTCTATAAATCGATTAAATTTCAAACATTAATTTGAGATAGCCCAATATAACGACTGCCCAATTCTCACCTAAAATCGGGAATGCCCGAAGAAGTGCTAATTCCTGCTCCAGTGTGAAAAACAGTATGATTAGATTCTCTCATCCATTTAGCCAATAATTCTACTTTTACTACGATATCATCCAGATCATCGTGTTCCTAAGATATATTTTTATAATCAAACAGTGCTTTGAAGAAATTTTGGGTAGAAATTACTTTTTGCATACATCATATACAGCTGAACTTGTCTATCTCAAATCTCAAGGAAACAAGAAAAAAATTCAAGACAGACAGGTTTTGAGGTATAGAGGCTCATGCACAGTAAATGGTAATGGGCTTGATTGCAGATAAGGTATTTTATTAATAAGATGGCAAGTACAGTACATACATTAGGTATAAATAAAACATTTTTGACATACCTGAACAGAAGTAGTTTATCAATTAGACACAAGTCAAATTCTTAGCTAATTAGAGAAAAGCAGCATTATTTGCAACTACAGTAGAATCTTGTTTTAACAAATCGCAAAACAATGGATTTCTCAGAATAATGGCGTCTTTTCCAGGTCTCGCCACATCAATGTAATTTTACTGCCTTTTAGTGGTTCTGTTACTCAGAATTTTGTATACCCCAAATCTATTGTAAACTTTACGTTTTTCAATATTTAGTTAATATTTGAGATATTTGTTTCTGGAAATCTGTAGAGTTTCATGATGCACTTGTTACATTTTGGATACATACAATGGAAGAATTGTACGAATTGCCAGCTGATAAAATTGAAGAGGAGTCACATAGTGAACACTTGCTGGTCTAAGTGTAATGCTGAAATTTAGTAAGGCATCAAGTATTTTCAAGTCATGAAGACTTTCCTGACGAATTTCAGCATAAACGAACAGGCTGTACTGTGCATGACATTGCTAATATCACTAAAAAAAAACTGGTCCATCTTGATGTGGGTAGAAAAGAGGTGTCGAAAGAAACCAAGATGGGCAAGTTTTTTTTAACAAATCGTAAAGTCAAGCAAAGTGCTAATGAGCATATGTAATTTGCCTCTTTTTATGCTAACAGTATGTACAGTTTTCTTCAGCTTTATACAGTGGTGTAATGTACAGTAAATCATATACAGCATAATATATGCACATGCTACAAACATATGTTTTTCTATAGGATAAAGAATAGAGATCCCAAGTGACTGAATAATTTCAAGTACTGGTATTTCTTATATATAGGGATTAAAAAAACTGAAATTTCTTTGAAAAATGGATATTTTCCCGGGTGCGCGAGAAATCCGTCATTCGCAACATAACGGATTCTCGGAACAACGGAAAGTTTTCGGCAGCCCGAGCAATCCGTTAAAACGAGATTCTTCTGTATATACTGGGCACGTTTCCTCGTCGGGCAGCTAAGTAAGGAGGCCAACGACATTCATTTCGTACAAAACGATCTACGTCGTTGGCTCACTTACTTCACTTACTCACAAGGAAACGCACCCACTGTATTGCGAGAAACAATTCTCAACTGCAATTTATGCTATCGAAACTTAGCGGCCAAGCTTTGAATTTGTAGTGAGATTTTAGAAGAAAATTATTTGAGATAAACATGGAAAATATATTTTATTTAGGCTGAAAGTGCAGGGGAAAAATAAATTTCGAACTAAACATGTTTGAGACAGACAGGTTCAATTGTATGAACAAATTACATGTAAGTAAGTAATTATACTTCATAATTGTAATATTACCTCGGGTAGGCCACAAATCCCTTTGTCATCGTAATCTGAAAGACCTTCCGCATAATTACAAGACATTACGTCACGTTCTTCCAACAATCGTTAACTTTTTAATCAGTGTTCATTTCATTCTTTCCCGGAAACACGTTTTCATAACATAAACAATAGGAACACAATATACAATGATTACACCGAACTTCTTAAATTTCCCGCTTGAGGTCACTTTTACGATTACTTATAAATAAATAACCGAATAATCTTCAAAATAAAAATATTATAGCAATTATTATTTATTATATTTATTATTATTTACGCTTAAAAATTTTTCACTTCTATACTACATTAAGCATAATGTACACAATAATTCTGAGTTGTAAGGCTGAGCGCTCCGACGCGAGAACACGAGTCACGCGATCGATTCCGGTCGACTGGGCAATTGGCATTTAATGCAGACGCGAGCGAGCGATATGTGGCGAGAAGAGGCGAGACGCGATAAATATCAAACCTAGCGAGAAATCTCGTTATCGCCAGCGAGATTTCTCGCTTGTGTATGTTTTTCCTTTGCGAGAACTATATCGTTCGCAACTCTCGCTGGCTACAGTCGCACCCTTAACCACTTTTTCTATAACTTGAATATTAAAAAGCCGAAATGACCCGCCTAATTCGGGACGTCTAGTCAAATTAGCGAAGATCCGCAGGAGGAATCACCCGAAGAATTTCAAAAATCTTCCGAAGATGACCACTACTTAACGCATTTGTACTGTATCGACTGTTATCGCGTCCAACAACCAAAGGTGATAACGGCAACGTAACACCCGAAAGAGTGACGAAAATAACGACGGCAGCCAATTACCCATCAAAGACACAAACGGATTGGCTTAAACTCGAATTGGAAAGGACGAGAGATAAAAAAAATGGAAAGAATTACAAGAACTCGAGAAACGAAGCGTGGACGAGTTGGTGGTCTCAACTAAATCTAATATCGGAATAGACGTTGTTACAAGTAAATCGGAATTATTGCCTACCCGAATTGTACACGGCTTTCTAATTATCTCTATTATAATAGTTTGCGCAATATTCGTCCAACTGTGTAAAAGATTCTCCTCCGAACCGATTTGTTCGCCGAGTCCAATCGGAAAGTGTATTGCACGGAAACCGAGACCATCAGAATCGGCGAAAACGACTTTAATATTACACGAGACCCGAAAAGAAAGTATCTTAAGAAGTTTGTCGTCACTTCATTTACAAAATATTTCGTCGTTGGTGAAAGTTCAACGAATGATCCAAGGTTTAAACGAAGAAGAAATCGAACTGTCGACCACCTTCCTTACCTCTGACTATAACCTGAATCCACGAATGATTTTTAATAATCGATAAGGATTCGTTAAAAATTTGGAGACTTGTAAAGAAACTAATTCTGAAGACTTATTCCAAAATTGTTTGCGAGAATATTCTCCTCGACTTGATATTATGGAAAACCAAATGACCCGCAATGGCATCTTTAGTGGACCGAGTTTTTATTCAGTTGTATTGAATCTTTTTCAATATACGTACAGTACCATAACATATCTGTGAATATAATATATTGCAACTTATTTTAAATTAATATATCTGTATAAAATAATATAAAAAGACTTTATTCGTAATAAGGATATACAATTTTATTAATTCAGTCCAAAAACTCGAATAATTGGAAATTTTACTACCCAATCGGCTCCCATGGATTCGAGTCGAGGTAATGAAAGAGGTTTTTTTCTTTTTTTTACCGGCAACTTTGCATTTTCACGAAACCTCGCGTGTAATAAAGGACCCCGTTGTCTAGCAAAACACGCACCGGCTCGAGTTTACCATCGGCAATCGTGGTGGTGCGTGTTTGCAACAAAAATATTTCATGTGCAGCTATTCCGCGTTTATTATTCATAGAATTACGATGGAAATACGAAACTGTCAAAGTGATTTTATTTTCTACACCATAATTTAATTTATTTCCAAACTGAAAGCGGATCGATCTGTTATGTTTTCTTATTGCAGATTTCACACATTTTCCTTTCTTTTCACTCTTTAATTCACAGAAAGCAACGCGCCTGTTTCCTTAAAGTAGTCCTTTGTTTTTTTTGAGAACTTAAACTTTCTTAAAATACAGAATCGTGTTTCTCATTGCAGTAAATGCAAACGTTTCGAGCAATAGGCTCTAAGCACTCGACGGTTCGAAAACAATCTCTATTGTATACAGTACACTTCCCTTTTGCTGGGTTGCAACTTCGACTATCGCCCAAAATACCCACATTTTGACTTAAGAACTGTATTAAGCCGAGGTGCCATTAAATTCTGAAGCATAAGTGAAGACTCTCTGCACTCGATTTCAAGCTTCAAAAACAATAATCCCGATGCATCGTATTCTTTCCCTTCTGATTTGTCTAAGAACTAGATCTACAGTTTAAATATTTCAATATTTTAATTTGTTTTCTTTATGTTTTTTAATCATAAATTGATTTTAACTTTTTTTAAAAAAATAAAAAAAACATTAAAATAAATTTAAAATTAAAACGATTAATTTTGGAAATGTAAATTCTTAAATGATTCGATCTCGTGCATTTAAATTTAAAATTTAAGAACTCTTAAATACGAAAGGTTCTGTTTTATATTCTCTTTAAATATTTACATAATCTTCCAGAGATACGAATAATTTTTATTTATCTGTGAATTATAAATAAGAAATCTTCATATTTTTCTTTTTGTTCAGGTATGTTACATTCTGCTGCAGTTTTAAAAACAAAAGGAACAATATTATTCCACTTTGTTTTTCTTATTTTTATGAAATAATTCTCATCTATACTGTATATATATATATAATCGAGATGGATCTATATATATATATATAGATTGATAATCTATATATATATCTATATATAAAAATGGACGTGTGTGTCCCTATATTTCACTTTTCAGTCAAAACTACACATCGCACATGAATGGTGTTTGTATGTGGTAGTAGCCCCAAGTCTCCATTCGTGCACTATGGTGGTTGCTATAAAGGTGCGGGAGATATGGGCTTGGAAGTGGTTGAAAGTGGAAGATTTTCTATTTCGATTTTAAAAATTTTCGAGTTCGAATTCGTATTCGAATTTAAATTCGAATTGGTTCGATTATAGAACGATTGTAAACGTTCCAGAAAATTGATCAAATTGAAAATAGTTCGTTTGACTGGACGTAAAAATTCTCTAATTAGTCTGGAAACGGGGGACCTAATTCTTGCATTCTGTGAAAACGGGTAAGATTAGCTATAATGT